ATGCCTTAGGCACTATTCCACCAGAGCTCCTGCTTTAAATAACTGAAAACAATACACAATAGTATCACTATGAAAACTTCCAAAGTTGCAGGCTTTGGAAACATGGGATAAAAGCTAATCACATAAACCAACTGCTATGGAATAAAATATGAGTAAGATTACAGTGAACATTTAGAAAAAAATCTATATCGATTCTGTACTCTACAGGTACTTTCAAGATACTTTAAAGAAACAAATTGCAAAACAAAGATGTATTGTCAAGGTGCAACTTACGTAATAAATAATATTTAAAGCTCCAACCAGTGCACCCATAGCTACAGATTCTGAACTAATATTAAACAATTAGCAAACCAGTATACATTAAAATCCTAATATACAATGAAAGGCTTAAGATACACATCAATTTTTATGATTATCCACCTTAACCTACTTTTTAAATTAAACATCCAACTGTACAATATAACTTTCTGGGATGATGGAAATGTTCTATATCTGTGTTGTGCAAGAGTGGTAGCCACTAGTCACATAGGGCTATTGAGCACTTGAAATGTGGCTGGTATAACTAAGGAATTGAATTTTAAATTTTAATTAAATTTGATTCATTTAAATTTAAATCCAAATAGTCATAAGTGGCTAGTGGCTACCATGCAGACAACTATGAGGCCCTGTCAAAAAAGAAAGTATCTCCTGAAAGTAGCATTTTGCAGAAAATAATCTTAATTTTTAATTAACCAAATAAGTGGACCAGCCAGTGTTTCGTTCTGTTGTATACAGGGTCACTATGAGTTGGCACCAACTTGACAGCACCTAACAACAACAACAACAACAAATAAGTGGAAGCCTATGTTAAGAAATTAGAGCATTTATCATTAAGAATATTAATGAAAAATTCCTACATTTGGTTAGAGCTTATTTTGATCACTGTCTCTCAATCTTTAAAGGAAAAAAGTTTCTGGTAGAATCTCACTTTTGATTTAAATTGTTTTTATTGCAGCATTACTTAAAACTGTACAAACCTAAAACTAGGTATAAACTTCTAGTCATAAACATGCTAATGTCTTTTACATAATTATAAAATCAATGTAAATTTATAAAATAAATTCTAAAAAAACTACATAAACAATAAAATTCCAATTTCAAGCTTTATAAAATTTTAAGTTTTAATTTCTTTATAAAGGACTCACTTTATAGAAACACTGGTTTGAATGAACTCCATGGTCCCTTTTAAGTCTGATATTCTTTGATTTTTAAAATTTATATTGGAATTCAAAGTGATTTTTTTTGTTTGTATTTATTCAGTTGGGTGCATAAATAGTAACGTTTGTTTGGAAAAATGTTTTAACTAAAAATTTAATTCAGCATCAGAATTTTTAATAAGCAATGAGTTGTGAGCATTTTTCTAATCAAGCTGTAAAATAATGTCTTAATAGAAAGAAAAGTTATTTGATCCAGGCTTGCTTTCTATCAGCTGTAGGTTGTCAATGAGAGCTACTCATTTTCCTAATCAATACTTTATTTAGTAATCAATTAGAGGCTCTAACTGTAGAACATCACTATTAGGTGCTGTTGAGTCGGTTCTGACTCATGGTGACCCTGTGGACAACAGAATGAAACACTGCCTGGTCCCGTGCCATCCTCACAGTCACTGCTATGCTTGAGCCCATCATCAAAAACATTGTGGAATATCAGAGGTTAAACAAATGTTCAATAGCATCCACGGGTTTTGGTGGGCAATGCAATAGGCATGATTTATATTTCTCTATTTCTTTCTAATTATAATTTTCACAGTAAACAAAGTGTTTTCAATTCATCTCCAAATAAAGCTTTATTTTTCTATAAGAACTTAATATTTACATGCACTGTTCAAAAAGAAGCCAAGTTCTTGTACTTACAATTTTCTGTTTCACCCAGATTATCATTACTGGCTGATACCATTTAATAATCACATAGTGATTTAGTGCAGTAAATGATCAAATTTCTATTTTATCAATATTCAAACTTTGCACATA